CCCCCCACCTTATCACCTGAATCTCCTCCTTGAGCATCATTGTGTTATTTTTAACCAAATATCTCTCAGATGCCCCTTTCACACCAACGCGGTTCCAGGGCCAGTTCGGAGCTGGAGCTTGAAAAGCACCGGGATTTCCTGTTCACACCGCAGCGGAGCCGCCTCTAAGCTCCGGATTCCGTTTTGTTTCAAGCACCAAAAAGTTGTCGGCCTCAAACGGTTACGTCATGACGCAAACGATGACGCAATGACGCAGCACAAGTCAGACTGAGCGGTGTGAATAGAGCGGGAGCTGAACCGGTTCCGAACCAGAAAAGCTCTAGCACGGAGCTTGAACGGGAAAAGCCTTGGTGTGAAAGGGGCATAAGAATGATTTTGAGCCTTTTTTGGGGGGGGGGGGCTCCTTATTTTCATCTAAAGTAACAGACAGAGAATCAGCACTTTTGAAACAGGGCTGAAACAGAGGGGATTATGGGATGCTGCAATGATCTATTTGGTATTTCGAGCCAAACACTTCAGAGACATGTTTTGTATCTGAGACCTACAATATATTGATGAAAAACAGTAGAATAGGGGACCTTGAAAGTGAATACAACTGCATAAAGGGAAAGGCCGTCACTGATTGGTGCATCCTCTCTCCCCCATCAGGACTCGCAGCAGGTGGTGGAGTCCTACAAGTCAGGGTTTGAGGCTCCGGGCGATGTGGAGTTTGAGGACTACGGCCAGGCCATGAAGAGGACGGTGTCTGAGACCAGCCTGTCCAACTCCAAAGAGGTCAAGGAGAGGACCGGGGGCAAGAGCAAGGGCAAACTGTGGCCTTTCATTAAGAACAAGAACAAGGTAACACATGAATGCACACTCAACACCGACTTCCATCTACACAAGCCTTACAGCGGAGCATCGCTGGTTTTTAGTGCATACTTTCCTCATCTGGAGGTCACGATGGAGAGATATCTGTTGGGTGGAGGGCTATGTTGTATTATGTTATATTGTTTCTGTCTCGTAAAATAAATATAAGTGTTTAATGTGAGATTTGTATTATCTGTTAAATCTTTACTTATTTTATTTAGTTTCATTGTGGAGTAGATTCTTTCATTTTTGTAAAGCTCAACAATTATGTTGCTAGCTCTTGTTAGCATTAGCATTTTCCTTGTTATGATTTGCCACCCGTTTCCTCCTCCCTGGCAACCACCCACCCTCCCTGATTTATTGGAAACTTCCTTCTGTAACACACACTAATGCATTTCTACTGTCACCCTGCGGTCGGACTCAACTGGCAGTTGATAGCTCGATCTGAAATAACACAGTTTTTCTCTTGACTGGAGATCATCTCGATAGCCTTCCTTCAGTTTCCTGCTTCAGAACAGCAAAACTGATCTCTGACTGTCTTATAGGCTGGTATTAGTATTGAATTAGATCAGACCATAAGTGAGTGATTGTGTGTGTCTGTGGGAGAGAAAGGCTGGGAGCAAGTGTGTCATTCTAGATGAGAAACTACAGCAAACTGCCTGTATGTGTGCAGAAAAGGGTTTCTTAAAAACACTGCTAATGGGTGCTTGATATACTTGGGAATCATTTTCTACACAAGGTTTTTAGGAGCACAGATAGCTATGAGAGGTATTCCTACTGTTTGTGCACACTTGCATGGCATAACAGAAACACTTGCAAAAATATAGGAGGTATTTCTATTCAAAGCACCATTTCTGCTGTACAGAATCAGGGTTTGTTCAGGCTACTTTCTTCGTAGCGGGGTTCCTGACTCACTTGGCCATGCATGTGCATTGATTGGTGTCTCCTCTCTGCTTCTTGTGACACTCCACGACTTGATGAATCATGCAGTCTGATGTTTTAGGACAGCGATAAGCAATTAGATTTCTCTGATGATGACCTCAAATTCATATCTTTGGGGATGTGATGAATTTCTCTGCTGGCATGTGATGAGGTCGGGAAAGGATTTTGAAAATGGAAGCCTGCATGCGCTTTGACTGAAGCTCTGTGCTTTGTTGCAGCCGCCCGCTTTAACACATTTGGCGATTCCTAACCCCCTCTGGTGGTTTTTCTCTTTTTTAACTGTTTTATATATGTTTGACATTTTGTTCCATGACATAACAACTGATACACTGGGTTTGACGTACCTTCTGTTGTCATTTAATTTCTGTTTGAGTTTTCTATTATGTGTTTATTTTTTAATATTTGTAGGAGGCTTATTTATTTCGTTTTGTGTTCCCTCCTCCTTTTCCTCTTTTGTCTTTTTTTCGTTGAAATCTTGCCCTCTTCTTCTTCTTCTTCTTCTTCTTCTTCTTCTTCTTCTTCTTCTTCTTCTTCTTCTTCTTCTTCTTCTTCTTCTTCTTCTTCTTCTATGTTTTCCCTCCTCTCCTCCGTCACCGCTCCTTCTCTTACTGGTAGCTTATGTCCCTGTTAACATCCCCCCACCAGCCCCCACCTGCCCCC